GTACACTGTAAATAAATAAGAAACATATTTTGATAAAAAGAAGGAGATGCTGTATTATTACCAATGGGGCAACTACATGTTTCCACCAAATGGTCAAGGCAGCATAATATGATTTATAATATTTATGCTATTATACTATGAATTATCTTTCAAAGATTTCTACCACCTAATAGTTTAACTCATGATAAAGCAGGGTACACATTTGGCATGATAGGATATATCAATGCGCAGACACATCCTTATGGAATAGGGACGTCAAATCTGAATCCTCGTGTAGGGAAGCTATATGCTCTTAAATATCCTGGTGACAACTCTTTGAGGGGTATGAGGTAGCATTATATCCTGTTACAAGGCAAACTTTGTTTCCCTCTGTATACAACAACACACTCTTTTCCAGTGTCAGTGGAAAGTACTCGTCCTTCTTCACGGCAGAACTCATTGACAGAACTTTATTGTTTGTACCTACAGTATTAACTGTTTATTTGTCCTCGTTCTCAGTAAATGTAAATGGACGTTAGGCAAACAACAGTCAATCAATCTGTCGTGGTAAAAAATATTTGTCACCAGCTATTGCACTATTTGAAAATTATAAAAGTTTATCGAACAGAGAATTACTTTTGTAAAAAATTACTCAAGGGTTAACTTTAAATTATACAGACTTTCATATTGCATGTATGTGTAAACAGTGATCAAATTGAACTATTTTCAATAAATTATGATACAAATGTGTGAACCTTTACAAATATATTTTGGTACGAAAAACAAAGGACTTTGAACAGTACACGCATTAACATTTTTACTATATTATTTGATTCATGATATTTTGCAGTTTCAGTGTACTGCATCCTCTTAAAACTATTCCACACGCTCTCTCGCATATAAACAGTCCCGACAACATGGATAAAAGTGAGTATTTTAGAGAATCACGAACATAGTTAACGGCTAAATGTTTTACTCTTAGCCTGAAAGCACTAGCTCTAGTATGCTTTTCTTTAAGAACAACAAGAAACAAAACAATGGGTATTCATGATACTGACTAGTTTATACAAATTATAGTGTGAAGGCAATGGCTTTAGTTCATGAACACGACGGTAATTGACCCTGAACTATCCAAAAAGATTAGCAAATGCACTAAACACTTGGATCGTTTATCATCTTTCTGTGCAATTTCACCATAGCGAAAGTTTAGTTGTCTTGCTCATTTTTATGAAAGGGTTCCCAAAAACTTTGACTACAATATATTTGGCTAGTTCAATTTTCATACAATTTTGACAAAATTTAGCTAATCTGCAATCAATTCCATCTTCATGCCTAACATATCGTGTACTGTGTTACAACTCTAGATTCTACTGACGAGAAATGGTAACACTAGGCCATCGAAAGCTGAATTTTTAGTTCAGTCTAGGTGGTCTAGAGCGTTGGACACAGTGCAGGTGGTATTGTGACGATATCCCAATAGCATGAGTTCGAATCCCGGCGAGGGAAGAACAAAAATATGCGTCCGCATATTTGCAGATTTAACATTGTTGTGCTGATATTTAGAGTAATTATGTATATATATATATGACTTTGAACAGTTTTAGCGCCTGTCCCAAGTCAGGAGCTTCTGGCCTTTGTTAGTCTTGTATCATTTTTAATTTTAGTTTCCTGTGTATAATTTGGAGTTTAGGATGACGTCCATTATCACTGAACTAGTATACATATTTGTTTAGGGGCCAGCTGAAAGACGCCTTCGGGTGCGGGAGTTTCTCGCTACATTGAAGACCCATTGGTGGCCTTCGGTTGCTGTCTGCTCTATGGTCGGGTTGTTGTCTCTTTGACACATTCCCCATTTCCATTCTCAATTTTACAACTCTAGATTCTACTGATTATGTATATATTATGTAATTATGTAATTATGTAATTATGTATGAGTTTGAACCGTGTTACAACTCTAGATTCTACTGACGAGGAAAGGAAATACTAGGCCACCGAAAGCTGAATTTTAAGTTCAGTCTAGGTGGTCTAGAGCATTGGACACAGTGCAGGCGGTATTGTCACGATACACATTCCCTCTAGACCACCTAGACTGAACTAAAAATTCAGCTTTCGGTGGCCTAGTGTTACCTTTCCTCGTCAGTAGAATCTAGAGTTGTAACACTGTTCAAACTCATATATATATATAGAACAAAAAATTTGCAGAGCTAACATTGTTGGGCTGATGTTTAGACGAGTTGTATATACAGAATGTACACAGCCATGTATCACCATCACTGCTGGTGTTCCGATGGAAAAATCTGTTGTAGAGTTGTCACTGGTTCAGACGTACTTATATATATATATATATATATATATATATATATATATACATAATTACATAATTTCATAATTACATAATTGCATAATTACATAATTACATAATATATACATAATCAGTAGAATCTAGAGTTGTAACACTGTTCAAACTCATTTATATATACATAATTACGCTAAATATCAGCACAACAATGTTAAATCTGCAAATTTGCGGAAGCAAATTTTTGTTCTTCCCTCGTCGGGATTCGAACTCATGCTATTAGGATATCGTGACAATACCGCCTGCACTGTGTCCAACGCTCTAGACCACCTACACTGAACTAAAAATTCAGCTTTCGGTGGCCTAGTGTTACCTTTCCTCGTCAGTAGAATCTAGAGTTGTAACACAGTACATGATATGTTAGGCATGAAGATGGAATTTCCGCAAATACAGATCTAACATTGTTGGGCTGTTATTTAGACGAATTATATATACAGAATGTATTTTCAGCCTCGTATCACCATCACTGGTGATCCGATGGATGAAATCTGTCGTAGTGTTGTCACTGGTTCAGACGTACTTATATATATATATGTATAATATATGTATTTAGACCCCTCTATCAAGAAATTTTTTTTGCTTGCACACGTATAAAAATTACGGTTTTTATCCAACGCAATCATAGGTTTGAACGTTGTTTTCAATTTAGACTTGTTTATATTTTTCCGTTTGGGCTTGTATTATATTTTCCTTCGGGTTTATATGATCCGTTCATCCTATTTCGACTCCTCAAAATTCAAGAGTCTATCCTAAATTGAGGTAAATTATATGGCCTTCCAAATACCGTTTCGATTCCTAACATCACTGAAGAGACATTAATTGTCGAAATCCGGATATGGTGTACAAATTTTTTTACACCTTTTGTTTGCGGTATACCATCTTTTCCGCAAGTTTATTGTTTTCTGTTTGGTATTAAATTAATAAGTAAGATCCATTTTGTTACAACTGTGATCCGTTTTTTTAACAATCGCCAATGGCAGTCAGCAGGGTTTAAGAACATTTGTTGTTCGACCTGTTAGTCAAATGCGTTTTGTTAAAATATACTTTTTAACTTTTTTGGTCTTTTGAAAAATGTTGTTTGTGCTGTATTTAGACCCCTCTACCAAGAAATTTGTTTTGATTGCACACGTATAAAAATTGCGCTATGATTGCCAACAAATTTCTTGGTAGAGGGGTCTTAATACAGCACAAACAACATTTTCCAAAATATATATATTATACACATACAAACAGATTTAAACTTTTTTTCAGAATTAGGGTTTATAATTTTGATAAAGTTTTCAAATTATTTGTATCTATTTTCTTCGATGTTATAGTTAGATCTGATTTTGGTATATTGCGTACATTTGATCAGACATATATCTCATTTCAACATGTCCAGAGCAAAATTAGCAAAATCTGTTAGACTGTGTTACATCTGTTAATGAAATCATGAATTTTTTTAAAAGGGTCATTCGGCATCTAATCTAAACGGACCATTGTCAGGATAAACTAAATTAACTCTAAACTGGGTATACAAGGGGTGTTTTTTTAACCTTTTTTCTACAATGAACCTTCATTTCTTTTCAGTCCTACAACACATATACATATATTATATATAAAATATATGATTTGTAAACCCTTTACATAATACTCTGCTGAGAACGGGTACTGTTGGTACACTATACAAAGTAATGCATTTACACTGTACATGAATTGCATGCGCCTTTTTCACAAATTACACGAATACATTTCTAAATGTTGGTTTCTATTAAATCATGTTCAATATGCAAATAAAAATGTGCGTTTTTATATAATTCATGCAGATATTGTGATAGAATTAATGTGTGGAACATGTGGAGACATGTGTTATTTTGACTTGCAGTCGACATTGGTCATCACAAATACAGGAGATAGAAAACTTACTATCAAACCTTACAAAGCCGATAACGTACACATTGTAAGTACGCCTCTTACATTCACATATATTTCTCCAATAACGTTTTTTTTTCTGAATACTTTTAATGTAACTACAATAACTTTCTATCTGTTTAGTGAAGGCGGATAAATTGAATTCGCCACGTTTTCTGTTCCATAACTTTTATCTTAAAGTCATACGAAACTTCAAATTTAAAAAAAAAAATGTTGAATATGTTTTAAATACTTGAATGGTTAAGTTTTACTATAAAACAAAATTAATGTTCGTGAACTTTCGTGTAAAAGAAATTCCTTCATATCATCAAAATCTTCATACATGTAGTTGCAGTTGAATTATTGTCGTGCACTAATTCGCTAATATTATCCGGTATGCAGTGAATTCAACTACAAGACATCTCGTTAGAACTTCGGCCACATCACAGCGCAAGTTCAATGGGAAAACCGCGATGAAATTATGTAAACATCGTGTATGGAACATGTACCCTTAAAGCAAACTTTCCTAATGATTAAAATGATATATAGTTTATAGTCAATTTTACTTTATAGTTATATAGATAAATTACACCTTTCTTTAAATGGCTGCTATTGGGGGAGGAGGGTGCCATCCGTTATAGCTAGCAATTACAAATCTAGTTATAATTGTTTTTGGAAGAGTTAATCTATAGCCATGAACCGATTGATATCGAAAAATAACCGGAAATTACTGCAAGGTGAGGTGCCATTTATTCATTTTCTATTTCAGACAGGTGGAACAAGAATACCTTGGTATGCATTCAAACCAGTAACTGAATCTGTAAAACTGCAAGATGTGGCAAAACCGAACGTAAGAAAAATTAACATATTTCATATCTAGACTTAATAACTAACAGAAACAAAATGGTACGTACAACCATGAGAATACATGTCAAAAGTGAAATGAAATAGTCTACTATTTTGATTACTGCAAGTGTCTTCTACAATTTGTAAAGATTGAACTTTTTAATTCTTTAGTATACGAATTTACATAATTTGACATATTATTTCTAAGTATGCCTCGATCTGCATGTGGCATTCTATTTCTAATTGTGCCTCGATCTGTATGTGGCATACTATTTCGAATTGTGCCTCAATCTGCATGTGGCATACTATTTCTAATTTTGCCTCAATCTGCATGTGGCATACTATTCCTAATTGTGCCTCGATCTGCATGTGGCATACTATTTCTAATTGTGCCTCGATCTGCATGTGGCATATTATTTCTAATCGTGCCTCAATCTGCATGTGGCATACTATTTCTAATTGTGCCTCAATCTGCATGTGATACTATTTCTAATTGTGCCTCAATCTGCATGTATTATTGGTGAAGGCATTGATTTTACAACATAAAGATGCATGGTGAACGGAAAAACTCAAATTTACTGTTTCAAAGTTTATCCTATTATAAAATAAAAGCTGCATTTGTGAGCCTGGTGTAGAAGGTTTGCTTGTGATAATATGACACTAAAGACGATGGACATGTAAATAGGGGATTTCCTAAAACGTAAGTTTTGGTATACATTATTTACTTTAATTACAGGTGTTTCAAGTGTACTTACCTGACGTTGGTATTACTGATCTGGGAGAAATATCAAGTTTTGGGTATTACATAAGACGGACGTCATTTTTGGAAGTATTTGAAAACGATAAACCCGGCAGATTGGCAAGATATCCTAATGAGGTATGATATGAGTTCTTTATATTACTATGGTTGACTTCACATTATACCTATTTCATGTTTCGTTTACGAAATAAGTTTGAGTTCGCTTTTATTTTGATTAAAGTTTTTTTTTTGGTGTTTTTTTTTTTTGTTTTTTTTTTGTTTTTTTTGGTGTTTTTTGTTTTTTGTTTGTTTTTTGTTGAATGAATGAAAATCAGATTGAATTTGTTTTTGTTTTTTTTCCCCAAGCGCAATGCCATTGTATTTGTCTCGCTGACTCAAGCTCGTCTGAATATTGTACTCTCCTTTAGAAAAAAATACAAGTATCAGATAAATCGCAAATTATTTTAATATATTTTGTACACCATTTCGAACTTCACAATGTAAAAAGTATCCAAAACATGTGTGTGATTAGTACGTGCTGTGCCAGAGCACCTGCGTTCTGTGTTCATCCCAAATTTATGAGGGCCTAATCTTGCTTCAGACTCTTAATCTTTTGTTTTACGAACTGTTGTTTGATCTTTTGTAGAGTTTCTGTTGGCCAATGGTGATATGTGAATTTTTGTCGACTTGTGAATTTGGTGTCCTCTTTTGAAACCATCTCTTAGTTTTACTTATGTATATATTTGTATAGTAGGATTTTTTTGTAGAGTATTTCATCATAGACCTAGTATGTCAATATCAGCATGAATACAAGTTTAAATATCTATTTTTATGATATCCAGACACAGTACCTGATGCTTAATGTTTCAAACGTTACAGAAGTATTCACAATAACGTAAAAACAGTCTCAAGCAGAACACTATAATGATAGAAACAACATCAACAGCCACAATAACAATGATAATGTAGTCAATGTATTGGGAAAACTAGCTAGTGTGGGTAGAATCTGCACTTTCAAAACCGTTTTTTCTTTTTTCTTTCTTTCTTAGCGAAACACTTATACATTTTATCAAATCATTTTCCATTATCCATGTGTCTCACTTGTAAATCAAGAAATGATCTGACCACTGATTAATTTCATTGTAAGAGTAGAATGCGAAACAACAGATACATATACATTTGTACAGTTATATTATGATCAAAGTTTGAAGATTGTGTTATTACAGTGTACTTCGTTATTTTGATTACTTTGGTAGGATGGACATTTACAGAAAATGGGGACTGTTTTTGGCGTAAGATTTGATATTAGTGCGAGGTTCCAATGTATGATGTCATATTGTCAAACAAATATAAGGAATGTGATGACAAAAAACCTACAAAAATGAAAACTTTAGAAAAAAATCACAGCTCTAGAGAGGTAATATGTAATGAATGGGCAAACGAACATTTGACAAACATGTTTTAATCAAGACTGTTTATGTTTTAGGGTTATATTAACATTGACACCCCAGGTGAAGATGGGAAATCTTTTACATATGTGTCAGACCGACCAAAGACATGGCAGAACGAGACAGATATATGGTGTCATGGATTCTGGTAAGAGTCACTCAACAATCATGTGTTTCTTCATGTACTCAAATATTTCTCAAAAGATAATCACCTATAATAGTTCTTAAAAGAATCTCTTAAGTTTCTAATTGAAAAAAAGAAGAATACAAAAAGGATAGGAAATTACACAATACAACAAATTCATGAAGTATAAGGGGGAAAGACTGAAATTATTCTACGACCAATACAAGGCTTGGCAATTCCGGTCAGGCCTTTTTGATAGAAATGCTCACAAATGTTGAAAATGTAGGCTAACCAAGAGCGTACCTGATCTAGGTTATTCAAATTGTTAGCATGTTAATCTAATCTAATCATTTTTTTAAATGGTAAGGTCAAATTTTATTTACCACAATGAGAAATGGAATCATAAAAAAAACGCTTAATAGTTGGCAAATAATGCAAATGATAACTCGGAACTAGAAAAAAATACGTTTCAACGCATCCCCATTTTGTAAATTTAAGTTATAACCAACAGCCTTGCGCGACTTGCGACAACTTAGGGCTTGACCCTTTTGTGTCGTTGGGTTTGATGTCTCAAAGAAAGGTTCGACCCGTCACCTGTCGTCAACTAAAATTGACTGACAATAGTGTAGCACTTCCAACATTACAGTTTATAATGTTATCAATATTTATCCATACGGTCGATCTTAATTGATGTATACATGATGATCAAATATTATACTATCTATTTAATTTTTCAATACAAAAATCGTCACTTCCATTCCAAATGCGTGCTTATTTCAGAGACAATGAGTAAACATTAATTTTATTTAAAACATATGCATTAGTCCTTTTTATGTTGTCAACCAATGGCACATTAAGACTTTTTTGTGCGACTACATTTTGTCGCAAAAAATATATGTACATATGTGTTAAACAGGTACTGGGGTTGGGCTGATAGAAGTTACAAAGTTACAGAGTTGGACGCGGAAAAGCAATCTCTCGCAGTTTCGGACAGAGTTATGTATGGATTAAGAAAAGGTAAGGGTATGGGTTTAATCAAAGATGTCTTCCCAAATCAATCAATTAGTTTAGAATAAAAAACTGAGTGCAATATTTCTCAATTTTTTAAAAGTTATTTTCATTTTAGACATTTCAGTAATTGTTCTTTTGTAGAACATCATATATTGTTGATATTAATACTTGTATTTGCACACTGAAATCCACGCAACGTTTTAGGGTAGTAATAAACTCCAGATCACATTGGTCAATTCTACGAGTCAGGCGTAACATGAATTGTAACAATTCTGAGCTGTTCTAAGGAAAAAACAGGAGTAAAGCCATGTTTCTTTGATCTGGTTTAATAGACGGATAATGAGATTCTGTGTTATAAATAAGTTCGTTTCCTAGAACATTTAAGCTGTTGTTGTCTTGTTTAAGTCCAAGCTGTGGTCAATGTGTCCGTGCTTAATGTGTATATAGTCTCATATTCCAGTATACAAAATACGCTATCAAGCAAAATGCGCTCAAGTCAAAAACCAGAAGTTATGTAAAAGGATATATAGAAAAGATATAGTCGATTTTCTTTTAATAAAATATTATTTTTTGTAGGATATTATAATGATGCTAATCCTACCGAAGGTGGTTATCATAAACAAGGAGGACACTTTAGATTTCTTAATGTTTTATCTGAACTTGATACACCAGTAAGTATAGCTTCATTTACAATGACCAGCAATCTGTCGTTAAATACACGCGTTTAGTAATCATTGTTTATTTTCCAAATGCATGCAAGCAAAACAGATACTTTAATGCAAACACAAGATCTTGGGTATGCGTCAATGGGACAGCAATCCAGAAACATCAAAATAACAAACATTTTCTAAATCAAGCTTAAAACCGCTCCGATGCTGGAAAAATGTGTGTACATTTGAAATTGACTATCAATGATCTGATCCCAAAAAGTTTTGTATATGATGCCAATTTACTACATGTATGCTTATAATAAGTTCCGGTTCAACACTCAGAACATGTTAGTTAGATTCTTGTCACAAATTAATTCGGTTTTGAGATACTTTTCTTAGCCTAACTAATAGAACATACGCAATAATGTAGTAATTAAAATATTTAGTTTTTAATTTTAAAATTTCCTAGAACGAACAATAACACAACACACTATGAAAATCCACGTAATAGAAAGGCCGATAATTTTACCAAAAAAAAAAAGAAAGAGAAAATGTAAACAAATATTAAATGGGTAACGAAAACCCAAAATAATACCCCTAGATCGTGGAAAATTAAACAAATCTGCTTCCTTGCGATATACTAACACGATATAAACAATTAATTCTGCATGATTGTATTTCATTCTTTTTATAGGGTGAATTTTATGTGGATAGGGTAAACCAGATACTATACATATGGCCATACAAAAATTCTAAGTACGTGTTTGGTGACGTAATACAGACATCAATAATTGATACATGTATCAAGTAAGTATAATATCATCTAACAATGTAGTCGAGAATGGAAAATAAAAAGTGTTTTACCTTTATCGTGTACAGTCATCCAACATTTGTTTAAACAGTTTCACTTTACCGTAAGGTTTTGTATATTATTACGTATAATGTGATTTTTATGTTGTGGCATTAATTTCGTTAAGATTTTATTGCACTAACTTAACATATTATATCTAGCCTATAAAGTATATTAAAATTCGAAAATCCAAAAAGCTAGATAAAACTGAACAAATCAGAGTGAATATGATATTCCTACGCATATCATCACCACAGAACACCGACCACCGAATATCTATTGGGTGTATAGTGTATACTACATTGTACCATAATCAACTTTATTTGTGTAATTAGCTTCCATTCTTTTGAGCTTTTACGAAACTAACCCCATTTTTTATATTGGTTGAATGTGTCTACATGTAGGATAGGATGTATCTTGGTCTTTTCTATGTTTCGTTGCTGTCTCATTAAAGTTTAACTTATACTTGTATTCGATATTATAAAATGCAGTATCTTACACAATGACCTGTTGTATGCTTTATTTTTGTCAATTGTTGAACTTTAAGGTTTTAAACTTATAGTTCTGTGGTGTTGTTTTTTTTAGAATAAGCGACTATTCATCAAATATACTACTAGAAGGATTAACGATTGAGGCCTGTCGAAAATTCGGAATTGAAGCGAAACAAGTTGAGAACGTAGTATTTTCTGAATTGAAGATTCAAAACATAGGTAAATATTAAACAAGGAAAATTATATGCACATACAAATAAACTCATCATAGATACCAGGATTATATTTTGTATTTACGACAGACGCGCGTTTCGTTTACAAAAGACTCATCAGTGACGCTCGAGTCCAAAAATGTTAAAAAGGCCAAATAAAGTACGATGGTGAAGAGCATTAAGGACCAAAATTCCTAAAAGTTTTGCCCAATACAGCTAAGGTAATCTATTCCTGAGGTAGAAAAGCCTTAGTATTTCAAAAATTCAAAAGTTTTGTGAACAGTTAATTTATAAATGAGACCATATCAATGATAATTCATGTCAGCACAAAGTGCTGACTACTGGGCTGGTTATACCCTCGGGGAATTAAAACTCCACCAGCAGTGGCATCGACCCAGTGGTTGTAAATAAACTCATCATAGATACCAGGATTAAATTTTGTATTTACGCCAGACGCGCATTTCGTCTACAAAAGACTCATCAGTGACGCTCGAATCCAAAAAAGTTGATTTTTTAACAATTTGCAGTGTTAGTTCTATTTAAAATTATGTCATGAATTTTTTTTTTTATATATATATATCAAATCATTCAAATTTTCTAAAATTTTCTTAATTTGAATGACGTCGTCTTCAGTAAACGGTTATGTCATTTTGATTTCAATTTTGAGAGTAAAACGTCGTCAATGCCGAATGAAAGATAAGTTGAATTTTGAGTCAGAGTGATGTTTGTTTAATTTATATTTATTCCTCGTTCTACATGTAACTTCAGGCTCGTATGGTGTAGTAGTTGATGGAATACACGTAAAGATTGACCGATGTGAAATTGAGAACACTGATGGAGGAATAGATATATCAGGTTAGAGGACACCTAAGGGAGTTAACACTTTGAAAATTAGCTAAACGTTTTAATCAGATACTATCAGTATAGAGAAATCAAGCTTCTCAATGGTCACAATAAGTGTTTGTAAAACTGATATGTATGTAACAAAACTATTCCTGTTAATTATGTACATGTTTTTCAAAATTCTGGAAAATTTGATATAATGGTCAACAGGTCAAAGTTTACATTTTGTAAAAAATATGAAAATTAAACTATCGCGATCAACATCTATTTTAGTCGATGTGTTTGTAACATGAATTTTCGAGAGAAAATATTTTACTAACCAAATCAGTATCTTTTTGTTTTTTGAAATTGTTTAAAATTTTAGACATTTTGTTTTACTTACATTTTTGTACTTTGAGATAATCAGTATTAATTACAATGAGGTCTGAACCTTTTTTTGAAAATAACAACATAAAGAGATAGCAGCTAGTACATCAAACTTATAAAAAATTATTTTCTTGATTTTTGAAAGGTGGAATTCGGGAGACATTGACCCCATCAGGTCATGTCATCTCAAATAATGTCATATCAAACTTTGGAAGAGTCGGTTATGTCGGAAGTGACGGCATTAACCTTAAAGGAGTTGGTATACATATTCATCACAATACTTTTGACAAAGGATCTTACACAGGAATTCACTGGGCGGTACGTATACGTATTAAAATAGTGCATTAACTTGTGGGTGTGTGATTTTAAAAATTGTGTATCTCTCGTTCAAATAAAAGTTGAGAAAATATATATCTCTTTACCATGAAATCAATGCATATACCATGGTCAGTAGCAATAACAATTGTCTGACGTATAATACATATTTCTTGAAGAGATTGTTTATGGAATTAAAATAAGAAAACAAATTAACAATACTGCGATGTCGACATTTCATTTATTGAATTTCTGTTGAAAACTTTCGATTTTAAGGCCACACTATTCTTAAATATTTACTTGCATATTAAGTATGTATGTATGTGTGGCAGTATATACGAAATACCACGACTTATTTTTACGAAAGGCTTTTCTTTATAATTTTCCATTATAAAGTGGAAGTCATATCTTTGAACATACAGGCATATTTTGCTTGTTTCGATATTTCAGGGAAATGACCATACGTTTGAATATAACCACCTCTATAAAATGTGTACTACAGCTAGTGATTGTGGTGCATTTATGGCAGGCCGAGAATGGACATGGGTACGTACTTCCATAGTTTATTCTTAGATATCATAGGTGCAAGAAGTCGATTTGAAACTTTTACTATACGTATTTTTTTCTGCATAGATCCGTCAACATGAACACACCGGGATAGCTAATAAAAGTAAAAAGTATATACACATGACTTGTATAACTTTATAATATAAACAAATTTTGCAAGGAAAGGGTCGATTTAGATAACTTTGTGCCAAGCAGTCTCATGTATTAGATTTGAAAAGTCAGCATTTTTGATTTGGTAACAATGTATTGCATGGTCCCCAGCTTGTATATGAGGTGACAGCATAAACATGTAATTACAAATGGTATGTTAATTTCTTATTTGCGAAGAGTAATTTATTAAGATGTGGTATCATTGATAATGAGACTATTCTCTACCAGAGACCAAGTGACACAGAAATCAACAAATATATGACACCGTACTGCCTTCGACAATGAGCAAAACCCATACTGCATAGTCAGCTATAAAAGGACCCAATATGACAAATGTAAAACAGTGACGTACACTTTATACTTTGTACGAATTGTGACTTGGATAAAGTGTTGTCTCATCGGCACTCATACCACATCTTCTTATTTCATTACAAGTACATAACCGTTAAAGTACTTGTATATAAAGAATCTACAAAACAATTACATAGAATACTACTGATAGAAAATAATTACGAAACTAAACCAATGTTAATATCATATCCCTCGTGTCCCTGTTGACTTTTTTAATTGATGTAAGTGACATGGAATAATTCCTTTATTTATTTCTGATGCAGAGAGGAAACAAGATAAAATCCAATCACATCCATGGTACAAAACGTACGGTACCTGGTGCAGACAACAGAGGGATAATGTTAGATGACCAGTTATCTGGGATACATATTGAACACAATGTTTTTGTTAATGCAAGTATTATTCATCAATATTTCAAAAGTAAACAATACAATTAAAGTGTTTGGTTACATACTGGAGGATCTGGATGGGAGTCCTTCATTTCTGAATTCTTTAATATTTTAGGCAATTTTTCTCTATTCTTTATACTTTTTGCCCATTATTTCTATTCTCTATTATATTTTAGCATCTCATTGATCTCTATTTTTCTTTTGGTTTATTTTTCATTATTATTTGGTCCATTTTTCTTTATTATTTATATTTTTACCCACTATTCTATATGTTTTACATTTTTGTAAACCCTCATCCACAAACTCATAAAGGTGTTTTATGATTTTAATATATTCAAGGCAAATAAGTGTCATTGGAAATACTCTATTGTTATATTCTGATATTTGATACACGAACAGGTCAACATTGATAGGAATAAGACGAAAGAAAATTAGACGATATTTTGGAACATACAATCAAACAAGAATAAACTATATATAAAGTTTTAAATCAAAAACAGTTTTAATTTTTAAGAAGTAAAAGAGTTCCAGTGAATACTTATAGTTCATATAACCTTGGGACCTGGAATTTTTAATAAAGCAGTGAGGATAATGTTTGTTTTTTTGATTGATAAACATTTAAAACAAATATATGTAAAACATCGGAAAAGTATTCATTCTTTAATGTTTCTAACTTTCTGGTCCATCATATGACACCGTCCATCTCATTCGTTTAGTAACTATAACTCTCTCAAAGATTTTTTTTTTCAATATTTGATTTTTTTATGCGGAAAAGGGATATTTTATTTATATAGAAACCGCGTTCGTACATATCAAAGGAATATTTTTCATACCATTTCTAATGTATGCCTTATTCAAGAATTGAGTCACTTCTAATTTTGATAAATATTCTATATATTAGAATGACGTACATTGCAACATCGGAGGTGGAAGAGACACAATAGTCAGATCAAACATATTCTATAATGCTTCCAAGTACTCGATGCAGTTTGACTCTAGAGGGAAATTTGGAGGAGGACTTACACGTACCTTACTGTTATTGCTCAAGGTAACTATTGAGATTGTACATTTTGTACCACAATTATCGTTTATATCATTACCTGACTTATCATGAATGTCAGTCAAAATTAAACGCTTCTAATGTGCAAGCAATTCGCTGTTTCAGAATCTAATGCATTCTGGGTAATATTTTCAAAAGGATACACCAAAACGTTGTGATTGGTTTAAAACGTTCAAAACAATGAAAATTCAACCAATGACGTAATGTTATTTTCATTTTGGTGTACTAACAATTAGATTACCCATAGTCCTTTAGATTCTGAAAAGGTGAATTGGGTTCGATACATTGCTACAGAGACCAATAGCAAGTAATGATATTGGCGTCCAAAAAGCTTCAACAGACTTAATGGCATAAGTGAAAGCAAAGGTGTATAAATACTGGAATACTCAAGGAGCTTATAATAACTAGTGGGCACTGAAGATAATAACATAATCCAACTAAGGTCAACTTTGCCTTATTGGGATGGGAACCACAATTTTTAAGTTTTTAAGTGGAACAACGTAGAATTAAAGAAATATTTGTTCACAATTATGTCTTTAACATTACCATGTAGTTATTGGATCCTTTTGAATGCCTATGTCGAATGTCTGGTTTCACATTTGCGTTTGTAAAAAAATATTTTTTTTGTTTCAAACTATTCAGACTTAATTTAAAGTCTTTTTCTTTTCGAATATTTTTGAAATAATAATAATGAAATAATATCGTACAGTAAAGTATTTGGTAATGTACATAGCTATTTACCTTCATCTGATTTGGCCTAACTAGTCTAACTACATGTATGGCAAAGTACAATTATATTTATCTTTAGCACTGTTTTCAAACCTAACACTTTTTACTTCACGTTTATAATTTTACTTTTCCAAATTGTCTCCAGCTAACATAATATAAGTTATTCTGTGAACGACGGAGGATTTTTTTCGGTTAGAAGTTTGCATAGAAACTCGTATTGTAAACACCATTGTTATCATTTTGTATGTTGTTTTGTAAGACGTTATATTTCAATATTATTTTTATATAAATAAAATTTCAGAGAGTACCATATCAAAATAAGTTATGGAGTGAAAGGTATCCAGAACTTGCCGCAATACTGAACAGTACTAGTAGCCCTGGTAATCCAGAAAGTAAGAATAATTCATTTGAAACTAGTTAACATACTTTAACTTTATAGATAGCAATGATATGACAGTTTAAAGTTTATCATGCAGTTGATTGGAAAAGTACAGCAAACAGTTCTCTAGCATTTTCCACGTTGACAGTAGCGTTTTGCACTATGACAGTATATTGGTCACGATCTCGAAAACAATTGCAACATTAGTCAACGTTTTTAAATAGACCTTATTGCTATTTGGGAATATGCGACACTTGACCCAAAATTGACGTCATACAACGACAACTTTTCCTTTGTGGAGTCACCTTTTGTTGCGCATTCAAAATATTAAAGGAACATTTACTCTGTCAAGTGATGACGGACAAATAGCGATAAGGTGTATTGAATGTAACTTTACGATTTTTTATTTTCTTCTACAACATTTTAACTGTTTTATTTTATTTGTGAATGCATGCCATTTTCTATACACACAGGTACATATACACTCATTTCTTCTTTAAATTTGCTCCTGTCTTGTTTTTACAGATAATATTATTGTGAACAATGCGTTTTATTCCAAACATATAAAAGCCATAGATGGAAACAAATATGGATCTAACTGGTTCTTAGTGGCTGACAATATATATGTAAGCATTATGCAACGTTAGAATTAGCATATTTGGATATAAAAAAGTGGCACACATATCTGAAATAGATTGAACATCATTAATTTTGCTATTCTAAACGACGGGTTCGACACAAGGAAGTAAGATGAAAACCCTACTACAGGAAATATAAAAAGCGGACATTGCGAAAGAATGACATGTTGGCCATACAAAACATTAGTCGTAAAGACACTGTACATTAGAATAATAATTGAGCAAAACGATCCATTCAAAAACCGGGATGAAATTATGTGCTCCAATAAAAGGGTTAAAACTTCCATCTTCACTCCGAGATTTGCTGCGTTTCTGGTATTTAGTCGTTGATACATTTGTAAAGGCTTATACCTTAACGCATTGTCTAACCCCAAATTAACTAAATATTAGTAAAAGCAAGTTATACAACCACATATTAAGGCAACAGTAGTATACCGATGTTCAAAAGTCAATAATCGATTGAGGGAAAACAAATCCGATAGCAAACTAAAACAAAACAAATACAGACAAACGTTATATAGTAGGCAAAATAAGATTATTTCTTTAAAAAGAAGGTTTGTAGACTTCACCTTTTGACAACACAGTAGACATCATAAACGACAGAAGAGCAAACAACACTAGGGCAAAACGAAAACTTTTGACAAGAAAATAAAAATCTGCTAAAAAAACAAAAAAAAACGCGCATTAACAGAAAAAATTTGTTAACCATGTAATCCTACTTTCACAAATTTCTGAATATAAATCAGTCACTTTGAATAATTGACATTTGAAAGTCAACTGGTTCCCCATTTTGAACCTACAATGTACTTTGACTTGCAATTTGTGGTAAAAGGGATTAAGAAAAACTCTAAACATCGACGAAAAATTTGAATGATATTTATAAAAAAGAAGTTGTGGTATGATTGCCATAAGACCACATGAAATTAACAACTTTAGGTCAACGTACGGCCTTCAACAATGAGCAAAGCTCATACCGCATAGTCGCTTATAAAAGGCCCCGAAATGTCAATGTAATACAATTCAAACGAGAAAACTAACGGCCTATTTCAATATTCATCCACTACTACAATGTACTATTCTTAATATATTTAAATTTTTTTTTTTGTAGACAACTGTTAAAGAAAACTTCTTTGCCCCAGTATATGGAAATTTTAGATTAATCTGCAGTTTGAGTGACGTCAAGATCAGTGCACCAGTGTCAGCAAATGAAGTTGGACCCAGAGATACAGTGGGACCAATAGCAATTCGTATGTAAATCTAAAATTTATCATGATTCGTATGTAAATCTACAACTTATCACGAAAACAATCCTTAACTACATGAACGTGTATTACATATTACAAATAAGTAAATAATATTTATAGTAAACAAATATTCCACATTGGAAATTATTGTCAGAAAATTGTTGAAAATTATTGATTTTTTTTTTTTTAGAATAAATACATATTATTTGTGACTTGTCATTGTAGGACATATGTCACTAGCACCAGGATTTTCAGTAGGCACTCCACAGACACAGATAACATGTCCACAAAAACAGCCACCCGCTCAGCCACCGAGAGAACTGTATCTTCCAGATGGATCAGTACCTAACCATATCTATAGCGATGTTCCTAAGGAAGGTTTGTTTTTTTGAAAAAAATACAAAACATATTTATTAATATATGAAATCATGAGATGTGGTATAATTATCCATGAGACCACTATAAACCAGAGACAAAAAATATGTGGATGTAAGCAACTGAATATCAACGTGCTATAGTACATAGTGCGTACTTTATTCCCTAAGGAATACATCCTGTCGTTAAAAGTTATTGTCGATACATATACCATGTTTGTTACCTTTACGTGGCTCTTATTAATGAATTTGAACATCGGTAACCTATTGTCACCTTAATTCAGGTTATGTTTCCCTTTGTTTTAGTTTGTAACCTAGATTTTTTTTCTCTTAATCGATTAATGACTTTTGAACAACGGTATACTACTGTTGCCTTTATTTATGACATATACAATCTGTATTCAAATTTATCAGGTATTACATCTACTGTAAGCATCATGGACAAATAGAGACAGTATGCTACATACATTTATAGATCTCTCGGTCATTTAGTCGTTTTTCTATCATTAAACTTTGGAAATAAAGTTTTTGTTGAAAGTACCAACTGTCGATTTCGATCATTTTCAGGATGTTGGTTTAGATTTGATAATTGTCCAAACCACGTTCAACGTATGAGTACACCATCAAAGCCATATTACCGTTATGAAACGAACGACGGAGCTGGAACAAATGAAACTATTTGCCTGGACACAACAACGAAAATGATGCAAGAATGTGGAAAAGGGGCAGAATTCTCAATAATATTTGGACCGACAGGTAAATATATTATTTGAGTATTTAAATTTAGTATTACAGTTAGAGAAGTTTAGAACTAATTGTCTTAAAGAATTAAAATGGATTATATGTATTTGTTTTGCAAAAAGAAATGCATGCACTATCCTGAAAGGCAAGAAACAATTACTTTACTTTAATTCTTTACTTAAAGCTGTTTATAAACAAGTACATGGTAAGTCAATTAAAGGTGGCGGCGCACACTGCCTGTTTTTTTTTATAGATTGCTTTATAAATTTAGAGGAGGTTGATGTGGGGCATCCTTCTGAGTAAAAAATAATCGGCAAAGCAATTTATCAAAATGAATCTAGAGGTAAATATTCACTACATTGTATAGACATGAACAATACATTAAATAAGCAAAATCCCCCTTTTTAAGTGTCAAATATGTTCCTAGATGGGTTGTTTGTTTTGTTCCCCAAAGACATAGTGTATTCGGTTTTCTCGTGGTAACAAGTAAACGATCTTTTTACTTTAGTGAATGTATCAATATAATGACGCGAGAAAAATCGGATGCACAATTCATTAAATAGGAATCTTGGTCACTTGTTTTACAAATATTGTAAGCCTAATTTGTTTTCAATTACAACAGATCTGCCGTACGCACTTGAAAGATGAAATACCGAGATGAATGTAACATAGTATGTTATATCCATTTTATGTGTAATTGTCATACTTAAAGGTTTTAAATATTATTGACAAAGTAAGTATTTTTTAGGCGCAATGACAGTTGGAGGTGAAGGTTGTTTCTTCGCCTGGTACGGATGTCCACGAGTAGGATTATATAGAACTCGTATAGAAAGAGATAATTGGGCTGAGCGGCATGTTAATGGTGCTTATGATGAACAAGCTTGTCTAAATAGAGCTCGACCACAATGGAATTATTGTGGACATAATACATCTTATCCGGTAGTTAACATCTTTAAGCCAACAGGTAAAATATTATTTTCACAATAAATATTATTAGCTACATAGTGTGCTAGTGACATAATACGGTATTTATGTGGTCAATAAATTCAATATAGGGTGAGAGCGAAGCTCGAATATCCATATGAAATTTACTGATCCCATATATACCGTATTACGTCACTAGCACACTATGCAACGCTTTTATCTGACCGACAATCTTAACATGTAGTATTAAGACTACTGACCTACGAACGTAAACAAGTCTTCAATACCGTTAGCATAAGTAACTACTTCCATTGTCATAAAAAAATAAATGCTAACAATAACAACTTGTTAGCTTAAAATGTGTATTATGAATTTATTTCAATCTTTCATCATCCTTTTTTTTCATCTGCTGAAACCTTTAAGATTTTTTCTCAGTACCGTTTTGTTTTAATAAAGGAAGTAATATCACTTCTAACCGTGTATTGAAATAAGCCCCGCCTACTTACCTAATATTGAATATACACGGTCTCCACGCGGTTGCTTTTAACCAATCATATTCTTAGAAATGTATAGGAGGTAAGATAATAAAAGTGACACAGTTATTGTACTAGAATAAAACTTACCAAATGTTGTCGGGTTCTTTATAACACAAACTATTGTAACGTTAGAAAACTTCTATTTCCGGGCTTTAGGACAATTACACATACTGGTTTGTCCTCGCAGCATAATTAAATATTAAATTCTGTATCTGACCAAATATCTTATAAAAGGGATTTCGTCTTCTGCAAAACGGAACATAATATTGCTTGTCTCTTTTTTATAGGCCATTTTAAAGTTTCCGGTGGTGGATGTTATATTAAACCAGATAAATGCCCTGGAAACACCGATTTAGATCATATGTTCTATGACAGTGACGGAGCTGCAAATAACGGAACAGGTAACGAGATTTTTAAAAATTAATAACAAAGAGCACTTGTCTAATGTGTCATCCGAATTGAACATATGTAGTTTTTATTATGTGACATTGTCATTTGGATACCTACGACTGCACAATGCAGAGAAATAACTCAGATTCGTTGTTTGAAATATTCAGATTATATCGCTCATTCATTTGTAAGCGGAATAACCATGGCTTCTTAATGATCAGGAACTTTTTAAAAAGAATTGTTTTTCAAATATGAGGATCGTACCTCTTCCTTTTTGGTAGCAAATGTTTGTCCTCCTCGCAGCACCATTAAATCGATACCATTGCCTGCAATTGGTCCAACGTAAAAGATCGTTTGGCAAACTGGACTAAAGTACATGATGTTTCACGTCAATCTGTATTTAGGGTTGTAAGACAGTTTGGGGGAGGGGGGGGGGGGGGTAATTTTGTTTAAATATTTTAATCGAAAACTAAATGAAGAAAAAACATTCTGTTCCATTAGATGACAAACAAAATTATTCTATATCCAGATTTTTGCCATACCTTATACTATTGAATTATGACCAAAAATGTCTGACTCAAACAAAAAACTATTACCCCCTTGAAGTTAAATTGTTTCTCCAATAAAGCCATAAACACACCATATGCCTTTACACATTTTGGATTGAGCGTACCTGAAGATAATCCAGATAAGCGCTCCGATCGCAAGACGTTTATCATCGATAGAAACAATGAAGACACCAACAAAAAATGTAGAAAGAAAATACAAAACTAACATTTTTACCACAGTCTTAACCAATTCTTTTAAATTCAGTTTCTATTAATCAGTGGTAGCAACCACTATATATGTTGCTCTAGCAGGTTTGACTCCAGTAGTGCGTCGGATTCGATAATGTCATCATCGAAGAATAGAGAAGATAATTATATGTAATATCTTCGACAAATTATGACGTCTCTATACGTTTGAATGATTGGCTTCCAAATTTTTTCTTATAATTTATAGTTCAAAAATTATCTTGTAAACATCATTCTTGTGAATTTTTGCAGTGTCTAAAAAAAACTCAAATATAAAAAAAAAGTGTGCATGTTGCTTAATTATATTTTTTTTTTCAATTTTCAGATGACATTATGGAAAGTTGTTTTGAGAGAGCTGAATTCTTTTGGAAGCAGTGCGGTAGTGATCTACGATATCCAGTTACAGCCTTCTTTAGACCAGAAGGGAAATCTATTCGCTATCCTCGATAACGCATCTTTAGAAAACATGAACGCTGTTTATGTAACAATAAAATTTGTTCGATTGCTAGAGTTATATAAAGAGTCAAATACAGACATTCATCTACCAAATATACATACTAATGGAATGAACGCAAATGGTGCTATTGATCTATACGTCTTCTGCAACGTCTGCATCATATTTTGTTCAGAGTTAAGTTTAGTTTCAAATATTTTCCTGCTTTTAATTCAGTACTATGCAGAATGTTTGCTTGTATGAAAACAGAAAATGTTGTACGATTGCCACTGAGACAACTCTGCACAAGGGAATCAAACTGAAACAGAAAGTAACAACTGTAGCTAACGTATGACCTTGTAGTCTAATAAAAACGGTTCATTCCGGTACCGTTTCAGATAATTCTGTTTGCTGTTGTTTAGTAGTATGTTTTAACATTGCAATATAAGCGGGAGGTCTGGCTAGCCATAAAACCAGGTTCAACCCATATTTATTTCTTAAAATGTTCTGTACCAAGTCATGAATATGTCAAAGTCGTCGGTTTTTATGTATGTCGGCGTTTGGTTTTGTTGCTGTTTAGTGTTTCTGTTGATCAGTTGTTTTACTCCTATCGTTGATGTGTTTCCCTTTAGTTTTGATTTGTGACCCTGATATGTTTTATGACTATTGATGACCAGTAGTATACTACTGTTGCCATTGTTTACAGGTAATAACTGCCACTGAACAGTCTGATCATAGACTGAACAGATCGTTATTGACTGAAAGCGAATTGTCTAAGCTTACTGGACTTTCCGCTTTAGACCGTTCTGAAAAATTAACTGAAAGACTGAACATAATATATATCTTGTGTACTATCTTGTCTGTCTTTTTCTTTTTTAACCATATCGTTGTCAGTTATATTTCGATCTATGAGTCTGAAAGTACCTCTGGTATCATTCGCCACTTTTTTATAATTAAGATATAACTTTAAAGTTTATATTCAGTGTTTTAGAGCTCTTCTAATCAATTTACCGTTTTATTTCAAATTTGGTTAACTATTGACAGGACATACTACTACAATTCATCATGCATACAACCCTCATAAATGAGTAAAACGCCAAACCGTGTTGTAAGCTATACACAACTTTAGACTATATTGAGAAACCTGGAACTAAAATTAGGTACTATGTGTTTGAAACCACAATAAAACTATAAACTATGCTACTAATTGTATAAGTATTTTCCATTACTTTGTGTCCACAATAATCTGTATCGGGTATTGTAAACCCGATAAGTGATTAGTGCTGACCAAAACAATCGATGTCGTTATTTCCGTCTTCAGTCAGTCCTGTTTTTAATCCATCTGTGTTAAAGGGGCACTATCTTTCAAATTCGTGTTCACCGATTTGACTCAATTTCTCATATTTGATTTTTAACAATGTAAAACATTTATCCAAATTATAAAAAATCTAAAAAAAACAATTTACAGGACATGGGCTCAATTATATGTAGCTTCGTTTCGTGTGTAATTTAGTCTAGACGCCATCTAATTAACTATCGAGATGACCTCTGACGACCTCCGATGACCATATAAGCGATATAAACATAAATATAGATATAAATAGATATCGAAATCGTGCAATTTGATTTTTCTATGTCTATTTAATTTCATTTTAAAGATTAAAAATATATGTTAATCATCGTGTTTACCTGTATACGAATGATTTTTTGTGGATCGAATCAGTCAATGAAATGATTTACCTTTGTTTTACTTTGAATGTTTACATTCTTTTCCTTTAAATAACTTAACACGCACGTTTCATGCTTTATCCATTTCTAGCTAAGGGGTTAAATTGAAGTTCACATGAATACGGATTCAATGGGGTCGAATTATTCACTTCCAAGTGAAAAATTCATCATGAATGTTTCTTAGCTTATTTTGACAAAATTGAAGCAGACTGGCTGCTACAAGCGATTTATTATTTCACTATTTCACTTTCATTAATGATTGAACAAAAAAAATCATATTTAAGATTTTTATATATCTCGTAGCTAGTGCCCCTTTAATACATAGAAGTAGATAAAAGAAGTAAACTTCTATTATCTGTTCCTAGATAAAGTTCACCCGCATATTTAAAATTAAATATGGAAGACGACACCAAAAGGCCAATATAAAACCAAAAAGTCAAATACGAACAAACACAATCATGATCAACAGAAAAACGACGAAAAAACAAATATCAATAAATAAATCATTTCACATGCATGTAAAACTGAAGACTGGAAAGGCAAGACGAGCCCAATCAAATAGAGGGTTGGTCTCGTACTACTGAAGGGAAGGCATTTCCTGCTCAACATGTGACTCCGTGGTATCACTCATGCGTGTTAAATCTGGTGATACGTATAATTTTGTATTTCTACAATCGCTGAAAAAAGAAAAGGATTGTAGTTACGACAATGGGAAATATTTTTGCTTATCAGGACGGCCAACCAAACCATAATGCCGTTTGCAAAACGTACATCCTCTCGGGATCGATTTTGTCTTGTAAGTTTCCTAAGATTACACAACAAAACAGAACACCGTTTGTATTAATGTACATAACACAAAGAACAACTAACAGTTGGCCTAAGTTGACTAAAAACACAGAAGTGATAAATATATAGTACATTAAAAGCTATCCCTTCGCTGCAAGTTCAAGATGTCCTAATAATTTAACAAAATGCATTGTTATTTCTCGATTATAAAAAACCTAGATAATATAAATTACGATGTCATATTTATAGCATAACAGTTTTTCAAACATTCTTCCGGCTTAAAGTAAAGAACTAAGCTATGCAATTGTTTTGTTTGACAATTAAACAAGTTATTTCTGTCTATTCTTATTGTTCATATACAATTTCATAATCATTTAAATATAACTTTGATTGAACGATATTGATTTGTAAAATATGGGGGAGTTCCTTGATGAAATTCATACGGTGTATTTTTCAATTGAAACCCTGTTATTGACTTGTTTGTGTGTATGAAATAAACAAGACTAAATCTTGTCTACCATCAAAAAGCATATTCTTATCTTCAATCCAGTCCGATCTGACGTTGTTGTTTTGTAGATGGCAGTTTTCTAAAAATGTCCAGTTAAATTATAATGTATTTTTGAAAGATTAAAAATTGAGTACATGTATTCATTAACTTGAATATAGATTGATTGATTGATTGTTGGTGTTTGAATGCCACTCGAAAGCGGTACTTTGGGCTATTTTGTGGCGGTCAGTTTTTATGGGTGGAAGAAGCCGGAGTGACCGGAGAAAACCACCGACTTTCTAAAGGAAAACTGACAATCCTAATAAATTAAGATAGGAATGGAGTGCACCCGGTTCGAACTCACAACCTCAGTGTTGGTTGGCTAGTGACTACAGTAGTAGAATTACTTAGACCACTTGGCCACCGAGGCCCCCAAATTGAATAGAGGATACGACTTGTAAAAATATATGATAAAACGTATTCAATCCTATAAGATATTCGCACAGTATTGATTTCACTGTATATTATATCAGCCAACTAAACTTAAAACATATATTTGGGAGCAAAACTTATTTTCACATTCAGCTATTTAACTGTAACTTATGGAATGCGAATTATACAAAAACGTCCATGCTTTGCTGTAAATATTTAATTAAACTGTCAGATCTTCCCCTGGTGTGACAAAAGTGAACATGAAAATTTAAGAAAAAAATAATTTCGGAAAATCTCACGCCTTGTGGTCCTATAAGTGCGGAGTACGATTATCGTTGTCATATTTAGAATCAAACCAATCAAAATAAGGGATTTGCGAAAATTTGTACTTTGACCACAGGTGGAAGTTTTCAGATGTAGAGCCCAGGTCTCTTACTATTTTTTTTTAAATAGCAAAATCAATACTGTAGTGTTACCGAAAAAGTAATTATTGGTACATTATTTGATAGAATAAAGATACAAGTTTTAATAGATTAAATCGCGACGTCATAGAAATTACAAATTGAATAAAATTAAGAATAAATATGAGTATACATCCGAAGTCCTTTTTATATGCCTTCGTCGGGAACAATAACATAGCAAACTTGGAAATCGTAATGAATAAGTATCGAAACACGATTGGAGCTGTATAGCCAAAAATGGGCGTTGAATAATTGTCAAATACAACTCAGATCATCTTTTCAAGTTTTATTCTATTAATCTAAATTGCGTAATGTCGGCGTATTTTATTAAATAAATCAATTTCCATTTAGAATGTCTTCATAAAAAACACCTTTATATAACACAAAAAGAGATAAATTGTAAGAACGCCTTACGTTGACAAATTAAATTTCAAACAAAAAATTGGAAACAAATGGAAGTATATTTGCGTTGTGTAAAAGGAGTAGTTATCCAAAATAAAAAGCTGCCAACCTTATCTTTGGTATAGGTCTTCAAAATTCAAACAGGACATGCCATGAATCCAATACACAATTCTCACACATTATTTGACCTGTGTAGGATAGAAATCGACCTTAAGCCAGTGCATGTATACATATACAAAATAAGATAACAGATGAATAATAATTGATATTTATTTGGGTAAGTTCGACTTTTATCCGACGCAGCTCATTTGTTTTTTGCAAAAAAAGTTTTCATTGTTTTTTAGCAGACAATTCTCACATAATATATATTCTTTGCAAAATGAAATTGATTTTTTTTTGTTCAATTCAGTCTAAGATACTTGCTTTAGAGCTTCAGAGGTCTAGCATTTAATGAAAAACTGCTTCAATACTGCAAAAATAGCTTAGTTTTGAGGACCTATCACTTAATTTCAGATATGATCCAAAAAAGGTGTTTTGTGAAAATATGTATAATACACAACTGCTTAAGGGGTAAAATGTCATTTTAGTAACGCCTTTTTCTCATATCTGATTTTCAAAGCTATTTGTATAATGGCAAAGTAAAATAAAAGCAGTTCATTTCGACATGTTAATGATTAAAGTTTCATGGTGATACCACAATTAACTGACATTTCTTCACTATAGATTATTTAATATGTTTTAATATAAACATCTTTTTGAAAGAATTGCAGAATTTTACTACTTCCGAGACCAAATAATAACTGTCATTGTGACGCATCCATACTCCATAACGGTGTCGCCTGAAGACCAGTCTGAATAGACTAGGCGCGATACTAACTGAATAAGGAATGTTTACCTAACCCCCAATATTTATATTATTGGTTTTATTTACACTTCCTCTAAGATTACACAGAAAGGAAGTAAAATTGAGAATGGAAATGGGGATTGTGTCAAAGAGACAACAACCCGACCATAGAGCAGACAACAGTCGAAGGCCACCAATGGGTCTTCAATGCAAAACTCCTGCACCCGGAGGCGTCCTTCAGCTGGCCCCTAAACAAATATGTATACTAGTTCAGTGATAATGGACGTCATACTAAACTCCAAATTATACACAAGAAACTAAAATTAAAAATGATACAAGACTAACAAAGGCCAGAGGCTCCTGACTTGGGACAGGCGCAAAAATGCGGCGGGGTTAAACATGTTTTTTGAGATCTCAACCCTCCCCCTATACGTCTAGCCAATGTAGAAAAAACAAACTCACAACAGTACGCACAGTAAAACTCAGTTTAAGAGAAGTCCGAGTCCGATGTCAGAATAGGAAACAAAAGAAAATAAACAAAATGACAATAATACACAAATAACAACAGACTACTAGCAGTTACTGACATGACAGCTCCAGACCTCAATTAAACTGATTGAAAGATTATGTCTTCATCATATGAATATCAGGCACAATCCCTCCTGTTAGGGGTTAGCATACTGTAGCATAGTAGTACTTTATCAAAAGTCCCTAGTACAAATGTATTCATGTCCTCACATACCTTATTCAATAATTGTTTACAGAAATAGATCATATATATTGTCATCAAAACGAAATATTTGGCTCAATAAGAAACATTTTTTAAATTTGAATGGTCTTATAATGTTATATATTTATCTGTTTTAATTTTCTGTTATGATATATTTGATAGTTTTTCTAAACACAGAGCAGAGTATTAACACGTTAAAGGTAAGCCAAGTCAATTTAAGAGGGTTATACAGTAGTATAGATAACAATAACATAATGTAAATCACAATATTTTTTATATATTTAAATAACCCATTACTCTTTTCACTTGTCGAAGAGGAAGGTTTTATCATTCATTTGGTTATTAAAATGAAGTACTGGATAATGTAATAGAGCTTGTTTTATTGTTTATTGATAGAAAACAATCTTTTGATACTGTCTTATTTATAAAAACAGAAATATCCCTTTTGTTTTACATCTAATTAACAACTGCTAAACGTAATGCCTTTGTGCATATTTCAGTTTTCTTTTATGATACGAGACAATAACACTAAAGCTAAGCCGGTACGTCTAAAAACCGCTCAGGACCTGCCGGGTGCACTCAGGATATGTACTTGTTGTTTTAGTGAGCGTTAAGTGTATATATTTGATAGATAAGCTAAGCAGCAGCACCGATTTAAGTTTATAACTTAAGCACAGAACATTAACAGTTGTTTTTTTGTAAGTTTCTAAATAAAAGTCAATACTTTATTTTAAAATTTTAAACGCAAATGATTTTTAACATTTTTTATAATTGTATTCGAATGCAATGGAAATCTTTCCCATCATATACACTATATAATTACGGGACTGATCATATCATTCCATGCACAAACGCAATTTTGACATTTAGACATTCCTTAACTAATATCTATACATGCAATGTATGTAGTACACAATCGGAATAAGTACTATATATGCTTAAATATAATGTGTTGGTACAGCAACTTGAATGATTTTGAATGCACAACAAGGAGCCGGCGATATCAAAGGGAGACTCAGAATAACAACTGAGAAGTCAATAGAAACCGGCAAAAGCACAAACAGCAATCTACTAACAGTGCGTAAGAAAACGAACCGTGAACAACACAATCACGACGGGAGATATCAAAGGGAGATTCAAACTCATAAGTCGATAAAATAATCCCTACATAAAAAACTGAACAGTGATCAACAGGATCCAAGCGGCAGATATCACAGGTAGAATAAAAACTTATTAGTCGATAAAAACCGGCATTATCACAAAAAGACAAGCAGTAATCCATCAATCATTACATAAAAAGAATATTCTAATGCAATTCGTTTGTAACAATCATTTTCATTGGACATTAACAAATATTTTGAAGTCCGTAACTAAGAAAGCCACCATTTAATTTCCAATTTTTTTTTTGGTATGTAATTTCTCAAAAAATAAACAAAAAGTCACATTTTGTGCCTCAAAATTTTCTTTTTGTCAATATTGAATCCATTCAGAAGAGTATGACAAGTATAGATACGACTAGATGACACCGGGAGTATTCATATGACATTGTTTGGGTACAAAAGACCTCGGAACAGTTTCGCGGAGTTTTTTATTTATGACTATTTTAGGCCAAAATATTGATAAATGGAAATTATTTTAATATGTGGCATAAGAATGGAGATAACTGTATTTTATTTTACGCTTGGCGTTTGTAAAACTTGATTTTACTGTAGCAAATATCCATTTACCTTACTCCGCTACGCGGCAAGATCACAAAAGACAACAAATAGATAAACAGCAATATAAAAATGACAAAATAAAACAACTGAACAGAACACAATCCGACCCCGACGGAAGACATTTTAGGGATGATTAAAACGCATAATTCTATAAGAACCGGCAAAACTACAAGAAGACAAAGAAAAGACAAATTGTCCGTGAGGTACGAAATTGCATACATATGAATATTTCATTGGGATAAGAAAGCATACACATAAGTGTCCAATTAGGGACGAAGTGGCATACATTTAAAAAATTCCATGAGGTACGAAATGATCCAACTACGAAATGACCATGGTACGAACTGATTTTATCCAGGGAACGAAATGGGCGGTGCAAAATGGTTTGGCACGAAATGATTATAATTCGACCCCTACACTTGTTTCAAAAGTTTAAATGTCTTTTAAAAAGTTGATAGCAAATGTCCCGCCTACCACTGTAACTACATGTTAAATGCGTATTTTATTGTCGGATAATTGTTTACAGCTATAAATTTAGATAGTTGATAATGATCATTTAGGATATAATTACAAATGACTGACATTACAGGCCCTTGCTTTAAATTTTTATTTGTCATATCATATAAGGTAAACTACATATGGGCGTATCCGTAAATAAATCTTCTAATGGATTTCAATCTTAACATTATTAAATGCTTTCTTTTGAAATGCAAATATTAAATTTTAATTGTAATCATAATAATACTGTTTGTTATATGTCTATTGAATAAAAACGAAATGATCTCGTTTTTATTAACATTATATTTAGTGAACTACAAATGAATACCGCAACATTTTACGATGTATTACTGGTGTTGTTGATGATGGGACAAACTGTCATGACAAGTGAGTTGAATATAAGATAACTTAATCTTATCTGATATTGAAACTGGATATTTGATTATAACATGTTAAAGTATAATAATAATGATATAAACAGTTCCAATTCTACTGCATTTATGTGAATTTCGAAAATTTTTGTCTCTTCAGTGATGCTGAAGGCTTATGTATGTATGTATGTATGTATGTATGTATGTATGTATGTATGTATGTAAGTATGTATGTAGTTCATATCTGTGTATTTGATATTCAGGTTTAAATAGACAATAACTGTTAAGTGTCTTTAAATATCAGCTGTATTTGTACGAGGCTAAGAAACAGGAGTAATGCGGGATTCAGCAAGCTATTACTCCTGTTTCAAGCCGAGTAAAGACATGACTTAAACGCGGACCGCAGTGAGGACCCCAAATCGAACTGTGACGTAAACAGTTCACTCGCAATAGAAGCAGGATACCAGGAGACTATATACGTCTAGTTAACGTATATCGCTTCGTGTTATGTGTTCACCTGTGTTAGTATAGTAGAGATGTCGATTGCAATATAAATTTATTTATCTATATACGTATATTTTATATTTCAGTAACGTGGAATGTAGTGAACAATCCTGTAATATTTGGGAGAGACGTTATACTAAAGTGTCACGTGGACAAGAAAGATTGCAATGTTTCCAGAACAGAACCTGATTCACGACAGTGGACCGGTGGGCAACATTACCAGCTTCTTGTCTGCAAAGGATGCTCTAAAATTTCTAAATATAAAATGATGACCAGAAATACAAGTCTTGATTTTGATTTATTGATCCGAAATTTCAATGAATTTGATTTGGGTCACGAATATACATGTCATTGTGGATTTGCAGTATACACTAAAATACTATCTGTAGAACAGAATAAGTTGATTTGTAAGTATACCAGTGGTAATCATAACGAAACAAGTATTGTATTAACTGACATGTGTATAATCTCGGTTATTTTTTGCATTTTTTGTTGAAAAGGTTTATAAGTGTTAAGTATGTTTTTTTTCCAGAATTGAAGAAGCTAATTATAAAATAAATTTTAATATAGAAATAAGAAGAAGTAGTATTTTGCTAATTAAACATCAATCGATTAGAGACAAAACAGCATAAAGGAAAGAAACTTTAGGTCCTTGTATGGCCTTCACCAGTGGGAAAAACACATACCATTCAGCTATGAAAAGCATCAAAATTACAATATGTAATTTTATAAAACAAATTCACACGGTTGCGAGAAGACGGAAAGCATTAGTAATGCCAAAACAATAAACGATAAACAAACGGATAACAGACTCTTGACTAAAGATAGACAGTAACTAACTCACAGTAACTGAAATATATAGTTAAAAACAATAACAATAAATGAATACGTCATGTTTTACTAGAGGTGTTTAACGACATTGACCTCCTTATAAGGTTTTCACACGGTCGGTAATTATTTTTTATCAGATTAAAGCATCTATCAGTACATGTGCAATTGATTTAGTTTGGATACTTTATAAAAAAACATTTATCTTAGTATCTATACAGCCAATCTTCAAAGATCTTACTGCAGATTAGAATTGATGATTTTAGTATATAGATAACGAGACTGTACACATAATGTCACAGACATGTCCGAAGCATACTTATTAATATGTAGAGCATCATATAAGAGGTCTTACTTTGTTTTAAACAGATACATTTTAGCATTCATGTAATCCTAATTTGGTAAATAATTGATTCCAGCTTTTCCAACTGAAATAAACAAGGACAGCAGTGTTTTCATCAGTGGAAACCAGCTACATATAGAAGTATCACTCGAGAAAGTAAATCCAGTACCAATCTGCACAACGTTGTTTAAGGTAAGCAGCTTTGAAAACTATTTATTATATTCACATTTTTTAAATGTTTTCGTTTTTATCTGTTGTAGATCAAATTAATTTAGAACTTAATATTTTATTCTAAAAATACTATATTTGTTTTTCTATGTATGCTGCATAATTATACAACAAACGCAAAATGCACCAACACTGTCTTTATGAACATTTGCATGATTGAAATATCATTTCACATAGTTTTTGTTTTATTTAGTTATTTCGTCACAATACTTATGAACACCTGTCAAAGTTTCACATATTTCAGAAATACATGTTGGTCTCTTTTTTTACAGGACAAAGTTATAAGTGAAGCAAACGTAACCAAGCTGCAATCTTATAGATATTTTACAGACGTGAATGTGTCCTTTACTTTTCCACTCCAGGAGTTTGGTTGCAGTGGTAGTCTGCAAATTATTTGCTCACTATTATCTTACAACATAACCGTTTACAATAAAAACATACAATCGTGTCCTGGTAAGTTAAATTTTTTCCGATGTTTTTTTAGAGGCTACGTTTTATAAAAAAACGTATTTGGTTACTTCAATACGGTCAATGAAAATTTCACTTAATGAATAAATATAATCCCTATTTAAATGACATTCACAGTCATAATCATAATTGACAATGCATGACATGATATTTGCCCATTTAGCCCCAATGCCATAAACATGATAAATGAAAAGGCAATATGTTATAATCATAGTGAATGGCTAGTTTTGATTTATCAAATAGTAAGACAAAATTAACTATGCATATGCACACTCCTTATGTATGTTGACAATTTGCATTAAACACAGTGAATGACTAGGTTATTATTTTCTTTTACATTAGAATACGACTCATCCTTTCATTTGCATATTCTAATGGTCACAGCATGTTCTGTCTTTTTGTTGGCGATGTTCTGCATTGTATACATCATTAAACGTAAGTTAAATACAAATATTTTATAGCTAATAATCTTAATCAAATGTCAATTGCGTGTTGAAAACATGTCAAAAAAAGACAGACGATACCAAGTCGACAGTTAAAACTCACACGTGAAATTGACAAGAAAATAAAACTAAAGACTACAAAAACCTCACTAATAACTGGGAGGATTTCAGGTGCTCATGTATGATTAGCAAAGAATATTCTATAGTTGCATCTGTCGTGTTGCTCATGGTAAGTTTAAAATTGTTGATGACAGAAGGGACGAAGACAAAATAGACAAACAATAGTACGTATACATACAACACACAACACAGAAAACTGAAGATTGAGCAATATGAACCCCATCAAACATTGGGATGATCTAATGTGCTCCAGAAGGGTAAGCAGATCCTGCTCCACATGTTGCACCCGTCGTGTTAATTTTGTGATTTCAAACCCGATAATAAGTCTTATTCGGTAGTTCACATTCGTGAAAATGACACGGGATTGTAGTTACGACATTAGTAACATATCCGTCGTCTGTGAAACGAATATCCAATACCGGCCAACCAATTTGTGATGTCGTCCGTAAAACTTACGATGACGTCAACTTGGAACTCTTGGCTTGATAGCTTCCTTGTAAGCAGAAACTCTCTTTCAAGGAAATCTTGATATGAAATACAAGCCCTGAGATATCATATGAACTGGGAGATATATACTCCGTATGCAGACGCTGCTGGAATATTGCTACATAGAAATTCAATTTCACAATTGGGAAGTTGAAATCAATTCTTTTGTCGTGAAGTTTTGTCTGGTGAGTCTAATACAGTTTTGTGATAATTTAGGAAATGAGGACAGGATTGTGAATTAACAATTGAAACGTATCTTTTAATATTCACGTATAACCTCAAAATAATATCTTCTTCTTTTTAATCAACACAACCTCCTTATTGATTGTTTTAAGCCCAAACGACATTATCTAAAATCTAAAAGAAACATTCGTTTGGGAGAACTACATGTATTTTCCCAAAGACCACGACAACAGGGTATTTAGCAATCTTTTAACAATAAAAAAAAGTAAAATACTTCAATGCAATTTTTTAATATTTTTTTTTTCAGGGAGACATAGAAATAATGATTCGATTTTATATCTACAACAACATGAAGAAGGATGACGTGCCAATGAAGAGTGATTCTTCCAAAGATTTTCTAATTGTTTATTTGAAAAAATGAACTGAATGAGCCTATGTAATACATGATCATTTTTTATTTTTCATTCGTGTATTATAAACACATTTTTTGTGCAGCAAGAATCCTGCAATCTGATTGGTTAATAATTTAAACATATTTTATTTGCTTAAATATGCAAAAGGGATGAGACACAAGTTAATCAAACTTATGAAGTCTTCTCCCATGAACAATTTATAACAATATAATTTTTTACAAAGCATGCATGCAAATAATACATTGTATATATTGGATATGTAAAAGATGATGTGTGATGATGTGAATGGTTGTACACAATATACATGTATATGCACTTTAGTGTGCTGTATTACACAATTAGAAACCTCTTTGACTCTTTAGTAAACTCATATACATTCTTTAAAATTCTTTCATTTTCATCATTAGTTAATGACGAATCACCGGAGGTTAAGATGTTCAAATTTAATAGAGAGTTCTCTGGTAACCAGTTCAGATTATTAGATAGTTTGATTCTTATATTCGTATAATTAGGACATTCAAAAAAGAAGTGAAATGAATCTTCACGCTTAGCACCACAGCTACAAGACGGATCTGAAATTATATTAACTCTGTTAAGATCATAATTCAAAAACGAGGCTGAGCATCTAAGTTGAGTCAAAATGATGTTGAGTTTACGATTGCCAAATGTATAATGTTTGGGTACTTGGGCTTTTGAATTCAGTTTAAGATTTTTTACTTCAGTTTTGAATTTACCTAAAAAGTCAATGTTGCGGGTCAGCACATTAAGGTTATTCCACAGTCGTATAGTTGAAGGTATGAAGGATTCTTGGGTCAATGAAAGTCTACAAAAAGGGTATATTATATCATTCCCATTACGTAAGGGGTAAACAGCTATACTTTGGATTGTTGGTGAAATTAAATTGCAAAGATAGGCTGGTGCATTATTATGTTGAATATTATAAAATAATTGTAACTTCCTCCTTTCTCTTCGTTCAGCTAGAGTTTCCCAACCAATCTCATCATAAATAATTCTACTACTAGTAAAAACAGGAAGACCTGTTACAATTCTGGCTGCCTCAAGCTGCAGCTGCTCTAATTTGTTACTATAACCCACACCCATATTATCCCAAACTTCACAGGCGAATTCGAGTAACGGTCTTATAAAAGTCAAGTATAGCTTTTCTAAGTTATTTCTACGTAATCTGTACTTTAGTTTTCTAAGTACATTCAAATGTTTCGATACATTTTTTATGATACTTTCCACATGAGTGTTCCATTTAGCATCTCTACTAAATGTAACACCCAAGTGTTTATGAAAATCTGTAACTTTAATATTCTTACCACTGAATATGAAATTCATTTCCGGAGTTTCAATGTATGAAAACAACATAATTTCTGTTTTTTTCTGGGTTAAAGGACATCAGCCATTTCTTAGACCAATCGCTCAGCTCACTCAGGTCGTGACTGATCACTGATTTTATTTGTGACGTGTCACGACTAGAGTAGCTGAGAGATGTGTCATCTGCAAATAATCTACATAAAGATATCAAATTTTCAGCAATATCATTAATATAAATAATGAATAAAAGCGGTCCCAAAACAGAACCCTGTGGGACACCAGCTGAAATACTGCAAAGCTCTGACGACGATTGTTTAATAACAACTCGCTGTTGTCTGTTGTTCAGGTAACTTTTAAACCAATTCAATAATTTCCCGTCCACACCGTATGACTTCATTTTATATAGCAATCCTTGATGCCAAACTTTATCAAAAGATTTAGAAAAGTCACATAAAACGAAACAGCTAATTTCTTTATTTACTAGTGAATTTAAAATACAGTTGTAAATTTCTAAAAGCTGGTGAACTGTTGAACATTTTGGAAGAAAACCAGACTGGTATTCATATATTAACTTATTTCTATGTAGGTGATTGAAGATATGTTTATAAACAACTCGCTCCATTATTTTCCCTATACAACTTATAAGCGATATAGGCCTATAAATAGATGGTAGCGAACTATCTCCCTTTTTAAAAAAAGCAATTACATTTGCAGTCATCCAGCTGGTGGGATATTTACATTGTTGTAGGGATTTATTAAATATTATTTTTAAAGGAATTGCTATTTTTTCAGGACACATTTTCAGCATTTTATGACTTATGACATCTGGACCAGATGCCTTATTAGGATCTAAAATTTTAATTATATCAACTATTTCATATTTTTCAATTACTAAATCATTTAAAATAATATTGGTTCTTGGTTCAACTTCAGGGATGGGAACACCTTCCTCCTCTAGGGAAGAAATTATACTAAAATATTTATTCAACAGATTACATTTCTCGTCGTCTCCGTACACTACATCTTCCATACTTTCATCGTGAATAATATTAATAAGTGGTGGTAAATCACCAGAACCCTTATTGGATTTCATAAGCATTTTCATTATCTTCCAATAAGTTTTGGGGTTAGCCACGTTATTTAAGATGATATTATCCAAGCTTCTTTCAATTTTTTCTTTTGCAGCTTTTTTCAAATTGTTTACTTTATTCCTCTGCTTTTTGTATTTATTAATGTCAGAATCTTTTTTAGTTTTTAAGGCTTTTTTACGAAATCGATCTCTTCTGCGGATTTCTTTCCTTAACTCGTTGTCAAACCATGGTCTGTCATTGTTTCGTATATAAACATGCCGAGTTGGGATGCTCTGCCTTGCGATGTCAAGGATTTTTTGAGTAAATGTATTGCACATCTCGTCGACATCCTCAACATCAGAAAAAAGTGCATCCCAACTGACAGAATCAAGTCCGGAAGAAATTTTTTTTAAATCTGCTTTATCGTACAACCAAATTTCTCTTTTGAATGATTTGGATGCAAATCTCGGACATTCTAAAAATATTAAAGAAGCATCGTGATCACTTATTTCCGACGGTAATTTAAGTACGTCGGCAACAGAATATTTAATTGTGTCGCTGGTTATTATCGGGTCTAATAATGTGCTACTGTGTCCAGTCACCCTTGTCGGTTTATTTATTACATTTTCTAAATTAAAAAGATTCATTGTATCATATAATTTATTATTATGGATTGAAAATAAATCAGAGTTCAAATCTCCTGTTATCACAATATTCTCGCTTAGTTGGTAACTCAATCCCAGCGAATAATTAAGTCTTGTCCAATGGTCATTGTCCGTCCACTCAGGCCTATAAGTACAACAAAGAAGAAATGACTGACCTTTACCTTTAATCTCTACCCATATTGTCTCATCAATGTGGTTTTCGAGTTCACCTTTACGTACGACGGATATATCATCCTTTACATAGATGACAATGCCTCCGCCGGCACTGTTACGATCCTTTCGGATTATATTCTTTGAAAATGAGGAAAGCTGCAAATCGTCAATGTTAACACTTGGATCCAAATGAGTTTCAGTTATAGTTAATATATCAAATTCGTCAGTAAAGTTTTGGAGAAAATTAAGCTTATTTCGTAGACTACGTATGTTTATGTTACATATGGATAGTGAGGTTTCATTTATACTGGTAAAGTCAGTTATAATATCTGTATTCGGACCTGGATTAGTCTCAATATTTCCTATAATTAGGATGACATTTAAAACAAATAGCAGAAAAACAATATCTATATTCGGATTTAAGCTCTGGAGAAGTGAGAGAGAGACGACGAGTAACGAGCATCTGAAATTGGTTAGTAATATTTCTTTTAAAGAGCTATCACTAGTTCGTGAGTTAAAGCTGCCGAGTCTAAAAGTGCATCTACATAAGTTAAATAACCCGATAGCTGCCCTATATTGTTCTATTCAATTACCCATTGGGTTTTATCATAGAAATCATAATACATATAATAAGGCAGCAAAACGAAATATATGAATCACAACAACCACACACATCATCACATATAACTGAGGAAAAAATCAAAAAAGACAAATAAAAGAAAAATATACAAAACAAAAGAAACAAGGTTTGGAATATGAGAGAAAGCATTTGTATTTGAAATGGGAAATGATTTACTACTTGAAGACTTCGACCTTTTTTTTTAAAAAGCATTATACTGATATGTTGTTACGTGTAAAATCATATGGGTTAGGAAGTTTACAAACTTCTTACCTAATTGCATTTAAGGATTATCGAGTGATTGAGAAGAATTTATTAGTTCTCAATAAAATATTAAAAAAAGTTAAATAAGTAAAAACAAGGAAACACCTATAAACTCAACATTTATGCATAGAGCCACGCAAGATGAAAACAAATACTACAAGTGACATCAATACAACAAAATACATCATATACATCACATGGTGCATTACAGACAAAAAATAATAATAACAGCGATATAGCTACATTCGTATATGTAATTGCGAATTCAAATTTCAAGAAGTCTTTAATATTTTAGGACTTTCTAGTCAAACGCCCCCGAATTTAAATAGATAACTTCATTCTCAGTGTCAATAAACGCCAAAAGAGGCCGTAAGGGTTTACAGTATTAATAACTGCTTCAATTTTTTAAAGTAAAGCAGGTTTTTTTCATCATTAATACGTTTTGATAATAGTATCTTCTTTTATATTTCAATATCATTCAAAAGTGTTCAATATAGTTGTTCATACTTAGGTATTTGTTATCATAAATTTGGAACAAAAACCCAAGTATACGTCAGTGAACTGCATGTTTTTGCATGGTTATAACATTTTGTTTACATAAATCTTTAAAGGTGGAGGCATCTGAAGTTTTCAACAAAAAGAAGTCATATTACATTTATCATCACAGCAGTAAACTCTATCGGGTTTACAAAAAAATGTTTTATTAAATTTAGATTATTTGTATTGATTTTATTTAGGTGAGAAAATAGCATTAAATATGAATAAAGTTTTTATTTTTTTGTTAAAGGGTACAAATTTTCACTGTTATATCCAGTTTAAAAAAGGGGGGTATCACATATTATGTGTTTTTTCAAATATATTTAGTCACTTAGGAACTTAAACAGACATCGTCACAATACGATTTTGATAATTATACTTGAATTGTAAAGCCTGGAATTATTAATATTAGTGGAAAAAAGAAATAAGTTGCAATTGTATGTACAAGTGAACAGAGGAAAGAGAGTGTGTTGGATAAATGATGTAACTAGCAGTTGAATGAAATTGTTCAGATAACTAAAACAAAAACAAAGAAAATAGCTTTTGTTGGATTAGACCATCTGATTACTACTAAAATTCTCAAGTTCAGACAAACGTGTTTATGGTATTAACGACGGAAAGTCAATATACATTGTATAGCAATTATTTCAACAGCTCAAACTAGACAAGAAACACAGTTAAGTTTTGTTCAAACAGTTTTACTCTCCATTATTAGACTGTTGTGAGATATTAACTTCATTTGTTTCTGGACTCCTATCAGTATCTGAACGTTGTTGGTTAGGTGATTCGGTAATGCCCCGTTCGATGTCAGAGATGTCATCAAAGCTATTTATCAGTGCCTTTCGACTATTTTCAGCCCTTTTAACAAATATACGACCATCTGAAGTCCAATAGGCGTGTATTTGGTTGTTGTATTTCATCTGGGATAGTTTATTTGTCAGGTCTGTTCTGAATTTGGTAAGATTCTCAGTTATGAAAATACCATCTTCGTTGTGTTTCAGATATTTTTTGTTTGTATATACCATGTCTCTAG